GCGCGTCGGTGCCCTCGAGCAAAGCCGCATCCCGGGAGAAGCCATCGGAGGCGCGGCCGGGCTCGGGGGCAGAGGCGCCGCGCTGGCCCGGGGACGCTGCAGGACGTTACGTAAGGAGAAGCGTTTTAAGCAGCGTTACATAAGCTACAGGCTCTCACCCAGCCCCGCTCGCTTCCCAGCTGCTGCAGGCAGAGCCGCGGGACGCCGGTGCCACAACGCGTCTGCCGGTGACCCCCGTCCCCATCCCGCTCTGTGGCAGGGGCTGCATCCCTGCATCCCTAGGGAGCGGGTGCGGGATGATCCCCATCCTCATCCTGCCTCCGTGCCCGGAGTCGTGTCCCTTCATCCCGAAGGAGCAGGCACAGACGCTGCCTCGCACGCTGCAATGCAACTGGTGCTCTGCAACGGGCGCTCTGCAGCGAATGCAGCATGAAGGGTGCTCTGCAATGGGTGCTCCGCAACGGGTGCCCTGCAGGAACTGCAGCACAATGGGTGACTGCAACGGGTGCACTGGCATACGTGCTCTGCAATGGGTGCACTGCAGCAACTGCAGCACAATGGGTGACTGCATTGGGTGCTCTGCAATGGGTGCTCTGCAACGGGTGCCCTGCAGCAACTGCAGCACAATGGGTGACTGCATTGGGTGCAATGCAATAGGTGCTCTGCAACGGGTGCACATGGTAGGCACTCTGCAATGGGTGCTCTGCAATGGGTGCTCTGCAGTGAGTGCAGCATGAAGGGCGCTCTGCAATGAGTGCTCTGCAATGCGTACTCTGCAGCAATGCAATAGGTGCTCTGCAACAGGTGCACACGGTGGGTGCTCTGCAATGGGTGCTCTGCAATGGGTGCGCTGCAACAGGCACTCTGTAATGGGTGCACTGCAAAGGGTAGGTGTTGTGGGATGCCGTGGGATGCTATGGATGCTGTGGGATGCTGCAGGGGGCTGTGCAATGCTATGGGATGCTGCGGGATGCTGCAGGAGGCTGTGGGATGCTATGCATGCTGTGCGATGCTTTGGGATGCTATGGGTGTTGTGGGATGCCGTGGGATGCTATGGATGCTGTGGGATGCTGCAGGGGGCTGTGCAATGCTATGGGATGCTGCGGGATGCTGCAGGAGGCTGTGGGATGCTATGCATGCTGTGCGATGCTTTGGGATGCTATGGGTGTTGTGGGATGCCGTGGGATGCTATGGATGCTGTGGGATGCTGCAGGGGGCTGTGCAATGCTATGGGATGCTGCGGGATGCTGCAGGAGGCTGTGGGATGCTATGCATGCTGTGCGATGCTTTGGGATGCTATGGGTGTTGTGGGATGCCGTGGGATGCTATGGATGCTGTGGGATGCTGCAGGGGGCTGTGCAATGCTATGGGATGCTGCGGGATGCTGCAGGAGGCTGTGGGATGCTATGCATGCTGTGCGATGCTTTGGGATGCTATGGGTGTTGTGGGATGCCGTGGGATGCTATGGATGCTGTGGGATGCTGCAGGGGGCTGTGCAATGCTATGGGATGCTGCGGGATGCTGCAGGAGGCTGTGGGATGCTATGCATGCTGTGCGATGCTTTGGGATGCTATGGGTGTTGTGGGATGCCGTGGGATGCTATGGATGCTGTGGGATGCTGCAGGGGGCTGTGCAATGCTATGGGATGCTGCGGGATGCTGCAGGAGGCTGTGGGATGCTATGCATGCTGTGCGATGCTTTGGGATGCTATGGGTGTTGTGGGATGCCGTGGGATGCTATGGATGCTGTGGGATGCTGCAGGGGGCTGTGCAATGCTATGGGATGCTGCGGGATGCTGCAGGAGGCTGTGGGATGCTATGCATGCTGTGCGATGCTTTGGGATGCTATGGGTGTTGTGGGATGCCGTGGGATGCTATGGATGCTGTGGGATGCTGCAGGGGGCTGTGCAATGCTATGGGATGCTGCGGGATGCTGCAGGAGGCTGTGGGATGCTATGCATGCTGTGCGATGCTTTGGGATGCTATGGGTGTTGTGGGATGCCGTGGGATGCTATGGATGCTGTGGGATGCTGCAGGGGGCTGTGCAATGCTATGGGATGCTGCGGGATGCTGCAGGAGGCTGTGGGATGCTATGCATGCTGTGCGATGCTTTGGGATGCTATGGGTGTTGTGGGATGCCGTGGGATGCTATGGATGCTGTGGGATGCTGCAGGGGGCTGTGCAATGCTATGGGATGCTGCGGGATGCTGCAGGAGGCTGTGGGATGCTATGCATGCTGTGCGATGCTTTGGGATGCTATGGGTGTTGTGGGATGCCGTGGGATGCTATGGATGCTGTGGGATGCTGCAGGGGGCTGTGCAATGCTATGGGATGCTGCGGGATGCTGCAGGAGGCTGTGGGATGCTATGCATGCTGTGCGATGCTTTGGGATGCTATGGGTGTTGTGGGATGCCGTGGGATGCTATGGATGCTGTGGGATGCTGCAGGGGGCTGTGCAATGCTATGGGATGCTGCGGGATGCTGCAGGAGGCTGTGGGATGCTATGCATGCTGTGCGATGCTTTGGGATGCTATGGGTGTTGTGGGATGCCGTGGGATGCTATGGATGCTGTGGGATGCTGCAGGGGGCTGTGCAATGCTATGGGATGCTGCGGGATGCTGCAGGAGGCTGTGGGATGCTATGCATGCTGTGCGATGCTTTGGGATGCTATGGGTGTTGTGGGATGCCGTGGGATGCTATGGATGCTGTGGGATGCTGCAGGGGGCTGTGGGATGCTATGGGATGCTGTGGGATGCTGCAGGGGGCTGTGGGATGCTATGGATGCTGTGGGATGCTGTGGGATGCTGTGGATGCTGCAGGATGATGCAGGTTCCACAGGAGGCTTCAAGGCGCCAGGGGACACTGCAGGGTGCCAGGGGATGCCATGGGACACTGTGCCGTGCCATGGGATACCGTGCAATGCCAGGGGATGCTGTGGGATGCTATGAGGTGCCATGAGATGCTGTGGGATGCCAGGGGATGCTATGCAATGCCACAGGATGCTGCGGTATCCACAGGACACCATGGGATGCTGTGGGAGACTGGGAGGCCCCAGGATGCTGCAGGATGTTCTGGGATACAACGGGATGCTGCAGGAGCCCACAGGATGCCACAGAATGTCAGAAAATGCTCCAGGATGCCCCGGAATGCTGTGGGATGCCTCGGGAGGCCAGCGAGCCTTCCCAAAGAGCCAAAGGGACACACAGCAACGGGACAGGGAACATCTGTCAGGGGCCTGGAACATCTGCCTTACGAGGAGAGGCTGAGGGAGCTGGGCCTGTTCAGCTGGAGAAGAGAAGGCTGAGAGGGGACCTAAGCAGTGTCTAGAAGTACCTCAAGGGAGGGAGAGCAGAGGATGGTGCTGGTCTCTTTTCAGTGGTGGCCACCGACCGCACTAG